TATGTGTGTGTGTGCGTGTGTGTGTGTGTGTGTTTGTTTGTTTGTTTGTTTGTTTGCACACAAGCTCCTTGTTTTCATTCATGTGCGTGATTGTTCCTGACGTTTCGTTGTTCACAATGCGTCAGCATGCTTGTAGTACACGCCCCTCCTCCCTCTTCCCCGACTCTCACCTCACCCATCTCGACCTTCCACCCCCAAACCCCTTCCTCATCTCTCTCTCTCCATCTCTCCATCACCAGGCGGCATCTGCTCGTCGTACATCTTCGAAGACGACAACAACGACGGATATGCGGTCAATGTTGGTTTCACGTCCACGAACAGCAACGGCAGCCCCACTTCCACCTTCAGCTCCGTCCTCACAACCGCACACGAACTCGGACACGCATCAGGTGCCTGGGATACACATGTGGTGTGATATCATGCGTGTGCACGTGTGTGTGTGTGTGTGTGTGTGTGTGTGCGTGCGTGGGTGTGTGACCTCTGTGTGTGTTTGTGTGCGTAACCCACATGTGCATGCGCTCTCGTGTCATCTCTGCTTTCTGTTGTTGCACCTCACACAACTCAATTCAACCACTCCCGCCAATGTCCCACTGCAACCCCCCCCCAACACCACCGATACAGGCGCGCGCCACGACTGCTGCACGTCAGACCCGTGCGGCGATCTCCCAAACTGCAACACGGACGACCCCGGATCACACGAGTGCTGGCCATCGGCTGAGGATGGGGGTCCATATCTCATGTTCCCGTCCGTCAGCAGCGCCGCTAATGCTGGTGCCGCAAACTCCAACGCAGCAACCTTCTCCCCGTGCTCGCGTGCGGACATTGTGAATCTCGTCGCGAACGAGGGCAACTGTCTCATTCGTGAGGACCCGTGCGCCTTTGGCGGCGACTGCTGTGACGACGGCGGCGACGTGTTGCCTGCAGGCACGTTCTGCCGGCCCGCCGATCCGCTCAACACGTGCGTCAAGGACGCGGTGTGCAACGGCGTTGACGGGTACTGCCCACCATTTGACCCCAAACCAGACGGTATGCCGTGTGACCTCGACGCAAACCCGGACACGCTCGCAACGACAGGCACGTGTCACGAGGGCCAGTGCAGCAACATCTACACGGCCGTGTGCTCGCAGATCAACCTGCAAGGGTGCACGCTGCCCGGTAACGAGTGCATTGCCGCCTGCCGCACCCCGGGTGGCTCGTGCTATGCGTATGCGAGCGCGTGCGGGCTGTCGACGTATTGGCGCGACACGGAGACGTGCATCATGGCATCTGAGGATGCACCGTGCGCTGTGGACGGCATGGAGGGCATGGTGGGTTGACGGGAAGGGGAGGACGTGCGTGTTTGGATGCGAGTTTGTGTGTGTGTGTGTGCGTGTGTATGTGTGTATGTGTGTATTGTGCGTGAATGATCGTGTGTGTGTGTGTGTGTGTGTGTACTTTTGTGTGTGCATGTGTGTGTCTCTCTCTCTCTCTCTCTCTCTCTCTCTCTCTCTCTCCCTCTCTCTCTCTCTCTCTCTCCCTCTCTCTCTCTCTCTCGCTCTACTCTGTACTCTCTCGCTCTCTCTCTCTCTGTATGCGTGAAGCTGCACTTGCGTCCCTTGCTCCCACTCTGATCGCCTGGTTTCTCATCTATCCCTTTGCACCAACACGTGCACGCACACCTCATTCTCACGTATCTCTTCGCTCCACATCACCACACCACAACCCACCCCAACCGAATCACCCACCCCATTATCCAGTGCTCGCTGGATGGCACGTGTGCAATCTGTGACAGTGGCACATGCAACTACACCACGCCCGTCAACACCCGCACGTGCGAGTTTTCGTACGAAGACACGTTTGGCCCATGCGAGGGCACGTGCGGTGCTGGCGTGCAGCGGCGCGTTGCAATCTGCTACTGCGACGGTGACGTCACACCGGGCAGCGCGTGCGGCATCAAACCAGACGACATTACGCAAGCATGCGAACTGCCCACCTGCCCTCCAGAAACCACTGCCCAAATTGGTGCGTTGACATTCATGTGTGTGTGTGTGTGTGTGTGTGTGTGTGTGTGTGTGTGTGTGTGTGTGTGTGTGTGTGTGTGTGTGTGTGTGTGTGTGTGTGTGTGTGTGTGTGTGATTGTGATTGTGATTGTGTATGTGTGTGTGATTGTGTGTGTGTGTGTGCTGTTGAAACAACGACCGCCACAGTCCGTCAGCATCTTTCGTCACCGTCTCGCCCACACCGTCTCCTTACCCACACAAACACACACATACATACACACACGTGCACGCGTGCAGATGACATGTGCGGTGTTGTTGGCGTGACGTACGATGAGGACCCGTCGCTCGCTGGCAAATACACGTACAGGGGCATGAGCAACCAACAGCCCTACTTTATCAAGGTGCGGTGATTGGCACGGGTGGTGGTTGTTTGGGGGTTGGTTGGTCGTGTGTGGTTGTGTGTGTGTGGTCGTGTGTGTGTGTGTATGTGTATGTGTGTATGTGTGTTTGTGTGTAGGACCGTTGCCGTCGCTGTTGCGTGTCAACCTGTTTGCATTTGTGTGTCCGTCTTTATCTCGCTCTCGACAACATCACAGTCGTCACGCCCACCCCTCTCACAACCCCCTTCAATCTCTCCCTCCACCACATTAGGAGCTTGACTTCAACGTGGAGCGCGTGCTGTTCTTCAGCTCGGCCTATGGCGTGTGGATCATCGGCGTTGCACTTCAGAGCCAATACGCATACGCGTACACCGACGACATCAACAACGGGCCGTGGCTGGTGAGATGTTTTGTGGGGTGTGTATGTGTGCATAGATGTGTGTGTGTGTGCGTCGAAGTGTGCGTGTGTGTGTGCGTAGATGTGTGTGTGTGTGTGCGTGTGCGTAGATGTGTGTGTGTGTGTGCGTAGATGTGTGTGTGTGCGTGTGCGTAAACATGGATTTGTCAACGTTGAGATGTGCATGACGCAACATGTGTTCTTCCTCCTTCAGCTCGTGATGTTCTGCTCTGCTCCTCACCATCCCGATCCCCCCTCTCCTTCACCTCCCTCCGCTGCACTGCACAGGTGTACACGGGCACCGCCTTTGAGGAAACGCCGTCATTCTCCAGCGTGTGCGGTGAGTGATGTGAAGAGCGTTATAGATGTGGTGTGTGGTTGTAGCCAACACGTGCACACGCACCGCATCTCTCGCTTCAGACCATCACCCTGCTTCTCTGTTCTTGAATCGACCATTACTTCCCCTTCTCACACACTGACACACACATATACACTGACATACATACACTGACATACACACATACACACAAACATACAAACACACACGCAATCCATTGCCAATCGCCAGTGCTGTCGCTGTCGGCGCTGACGACGGTCACCGACACAACATCGTCCACATCAACGTGGACGTCGACTTCATCATCAACCACCAGCTCATCCTCAACGTTTTCCAGCACCACGGCTGCGTCACCTCCGCTGTCATCAACGACCACCACCACCTCCCTCGCCAGCATGGAATCGCCAACAACAACAACAACAGCAACAGGTGGTGTCGGTAGCACGACGCCTACAACCGCTACAACAACAGCCACCACGACTAGTGAGACGCCAGAGACAAGGTTTGAGACTACTGTACCGCAGTCCACCACAACCACAGTCATCACAACCGTCCCAGTCACCTCTCCAGTCGTTGACACCACAACGACCACTACCGCAGCCACAACGGCCCCGATCACCTCCCCAGCCGTTGACACGACGACCATCACCACCACTCCCTCGCCCCCATCATCATCATCATCATCAACATCATCCTCGTCATCATCAACATCGTCGCCATTGCCTGGTACCACCACGCTGTTCACCACCGCGCCGACGACGACCACCATCTTTGGGCCCTCTTCCCAATCCCCAACGTTTGCCATCACGTCTACTACAACAACGGAACCCACAACCACCGCCACCCCAACCGCTACAACGACAACAACAACGACAACAACAACAACGACACCCGCTGTCGTGAGCATTGAAGGGTTTGCGACAGCATTTGTTGGTGTGCACTCGTCCAACAGCGGACAGGCGCTCCGGTTCTCCACGGCGTTTGATTCCGCAGCCATCATCTCTACAACCTCCAACTCATCCCCGAGCGAGTGCGGCGATGCGTGTGTGGCGAACGCAGAGTGCCTGGGCGTGTTCTGGTGGGAGGTGACGAGTGCAGAGACGAGGTGTGTGCTGTTGCGGGACCTTGGCACGGCGCAAGGCATCGCCACAGGCACCGTCTCCGTCAGCCTGGTGCTGCTGAGCCGCACGACGACGACCACGACGACGACCACGATGACGACAACAGCAACGCCGCCGGTGCTTGACGGGTTCAACCTCGTGTTCCTCGGCCATGTGGCCAGCAACACCAATGGGCCCTTCGTGCGTTTCTCGACGGCATTCGACAGCAGCGCACAGCTGAGCTCCACCAGCGACGTCACCCTGCAGGAGTGCGGCATGATGTGCATTGATGCCCCGGAGTGTGCCGGCATCTTTGTATGGACGCCCCTCCACGGGACACAGCGGTGTGTGCTGCTGCGTGATGTTGGGTCGAGTGGCGGCACGGAGACAGGGTCCGAGTCATACAGCTTCCAGCGCATTGTACCCACAACAACAGGGGCAGGAATGTCAGCAGCAACAACAACAACCACACCACCCACGACATCGTCCCTGCCATTCCTGCGTGAGCTGGACGGGTACGAGGTGACGTTCACGGGTGCAATCGACAGCAACACGGGCGATGCACGCCGCTTCTCCACCGCCTTTGACGCCTCGTTTGTCCTCAACACCATCGACAACCAGGACACGAGCGTGTGCGCGGCCGCCTGCGACAGCATGGCTGCCTGCCTCGGCATCTTCCTCTGGATCCAGGCGAGTGGCACCACGCGGTGCGTGCTGTTGTCTGGGCTGGGGGCGGAGTCCGGCGCCACCACGGCGTCTGTGTCGCTCTCCCTCACCAAAGTGGGCGTGGCACCTCCAACGCCGGAC